CTCTGGAATGGTTGGTGAGCGTGGACCTCCCGGACCTGCTGGACCCCCTGGACTGTCTGGTGCCACCGGAGAGGCTGGTCGTGAGGTATGAGTCATTCATTGGTTAATGATGCACTTTTTTAGCTTCCCTAGCCTGTAGTTAACCACTGAGCATTTTGATGACCATCCTTGCTGCTCTTCCACAGGGATCTCCTGGTCATGATGGTGTATCTGGTCGCGATGGATCTCCTGGCCCCAAGGTAACCCTCCTTCTTCTTATCATTCTTAAGCATCAAATAATATGTAAATACCAAGCTCTCTGCTTTGTTTTCCTGGGGCCATTTAATCTTTAGTCCAGTATACCTTTCCAATAGAAACGACAAGAGATTTTTTTTTCCTATAGGGAGACCGTGGTGAGTCTGGTATGGCTGGACCCCCAGGACCCCCTGGTGCTCCTGGAGCCCCCGGAGCTGTCGGTCCCTCTGGCAAATCTGGTGACCGTGGAGAGTCTGTAAGCCCCCCTCCTGCTTATCTTGAGCCTGTTTTAATTAAACCTGGTAACTCATTGTGCAGATACATTTTTAAATTAAAATTTTATTTTTATTGTGATGTGATTTTTCCTTTAGGGTGCTGCTGGTGCTGCTGGTCCTTCCGGCCCTGCTGGTGTCCGTGGCCCTGCTGTACGTTCATCATAACATAATATGCATCAATAACATATACAAACAGATATATAGCTCTAGTCTTGTGTTGACTGATGATCATATGTTGACCTCCTGTTTCATTCAGGGCCCTGCTGGTGCAAAGGGAGATAGAGGAGAGGCTGGTGAGGCTGGAGAGAGAGGCCACAAGGGACACAGAGGATTCAGTGGCATGCAGGGTCTGCCCGGACCTGCTGTAAGTAACTGTTTAAAGTGGTATTGAAGCAAGCACGTGTTTGTAGATTACTGCATCAAACAATCTCAACTTTTCTCACTTTATGAGATATTTAAATATTCTATTTTAAATGCATAATGCATAATATTTGATATTCATATTCTTCTTCATCTAGGGACCTTCTGGAGAGAGAGGACCTGCTGGCGCCTCTGGACCTGCTGGACCTAGAGTAAGTACATCTGTTTTACAAGTGGTTATTTACACAAAAAATGTATTCTAGTCTTCTTTTTCATTAACCCCCCCAAAAAATGGTCATAAAATTCTGTTGTGTAGAGTGTATATACAATATTCTTATAAGAAAGTGGCAAAAATAGCAGGACTACATTTTACAATTATTGACACATTTACCAGTTTTACACATGCAGATAATGTTAGTAAAATGGTAAGCTGAACTGTTACGAATTGATGTTTCCTTTCATTAAGTGATTATGTGGCTTTTGCTCCATAGGGATCTTCTGGATCTAATGGCTCCCCTGGTAAGGATGGCATGAACGGTCTGCCTGGACCCATTGGACCCCCTGGACCTCGCGGTCGCAATGGAGAGATGGGACCTGCTGTAAGTCACACTACAATCTTTGTTTTAACCAAATACTTATAAATTCAGAAACTTTGAATGTATATGCAGTTTGTAAATGCCTGGTGCCTGCAAACAGGGTCCTCCCGGACCTCCTGGACCTGCCGGACCCCCTGGACCTCCCGGCAGTGGATTTGACTTTGTCAGCCAGCCTCTTCAGGAGAAGGCTCCCGATCCCTTCCGTGGTGGCCACTACCGCGCTGATGACCCCAACATGATGCGCGATCGCGACCAGGAGGTTGACACCACCCTCAAGACCCTGACTCAGAAGGTCGAGAAGATCCGTAGCCCAGACGGTACCCAGAAGAGCCCTGCACGCATGTGCCGTGACCTGAGGATGTGCCACCCTGAGTGGAAGAGCGGTGAGTGCAGATGAGAGCAGTTTAACATATCCCAAGTACAACTTAATGATGAGCTCAGATTCAAACGGTTTTATGCTCCTCTGTTACAGGCATGTACTGGGTTGATCCCAACCAGGGATCTTCTCTGGATGCCATCAAGGTCCACTGCAACATGGAGACTGGTGAGACTTGCATCTACCCCAGCGATTCCAGCATCCCCATGAAGAACTGGTACCTCAGCAAGAACATCAGAGAGAAGAAGCACGTCTGGTTCGGCGAGTCCATGACTGGTGGATTCCAGGTAAGAACTTTAAAAAAAAGTTTCCTGCACTAACTAAAATCATCAAGAACCAACAGACTATAGAATATGTACTTCTAAGTCAGTGATGGTTCATGAACTCTTCTCCTCCCTCCACCACGCAGTTCCAGTATGGCACCGATGGAGCTGATACCGAGGATGTCAGCATCCAGATGACCTTTATGCGCCTGATGTCCAACCAGGCCTCTCAGAACGTCACATACCACTGCAAGAACAGCATTGCCTACATGGACTCCGCCACCGGCAACCTTAAGAAGGCCCTGCTTCTCCAGGGCTCCAACGACGTTGAGATCAGAGCCGAGGGCAACAGCCGCTTCACATACAGCGTCAGCGAGGATGGCTGCACGGTGAGTTCTCCCTCTGTTTGTCCTGGAGTTTGCATTGACATACCTTTCTAATGGCAAATATGTAAAATCATCATTAAGAGAAGATTTTGATGCTTGCGAACAGGTGAACAATACAATTTCTTGAGCACTATCTGACTTTTTCTCCTTTTTGCTCCTTTCCACAGTCACACACTGGCACATGGGGTAAGACAGTCATCGACTACAAGACATCAAAAACATCCCGCCTGCCCATCATTGACATTGCTCCTATGGATGTTGGTGCACCTGATCAGGAGTTTGGCGTCGAAGTTGGCCCCGTTTGCTTCTTGTAAAAATGAAAAAAATATGGACATGACATTGTTGTTTTTTTTCTAGCAGTCATCTCTAAATCCTTTTTTCTATGCATACAAAACTCATTCGGCTGCCATTGGTCCACATGCTTAAAACCACTCTACTGAAGACGTTTATGTTTTTCCAATCATGAGAAGTTTTTGGGACTGCTACTTCAACCAAAACCAACAACAAGGACACTTTAAAAAGAATCGTTTGTTTCCACTGGCAACAAGAAAATAATATATACTTGTGTAAAATTTCCCCCTGGAGATTGAGAAAAAAAAGATCCACACACGCAATGAAACACAGGTGACGTTTGCCATTTTCTACCACTGCGGAAGGACATTGAAAACAACAAATGATATGTACCATTTTCCTGGTGTTAAATAAATTGTAAAAAGTGTGAAGTGTCTTGTTCTAAATTCATGAGAAAAACAACACCTGAATGTTGCTCAGACAAAGAAAAAAGACCAGCAAAAGAGCAAGACAAAAACACTCACCTTCATTGCAATATGTAGATGGCTACCTCATAACAAGAAGTCACCCCCAGTTTTTTTCTTAAATGAAAAGGGTATATTTTACACGAGTCTATTGTGGAGAAATCAAAAACATTCAAAGGTGCTATTACCATTTCAATGAGGTCCAGCTATTGGTGTTTGATGGTGAAACTCTCACTGTCATACTGTAATTATTGCCACTAATGCCTGCAGAACCTTTGGTGCTACTAAATTGACTCTGTCTTGTTGTCTATGCAGTGCAATTGTTTTCTTCTTAAGTGTTGGTTTGATAAAAGAGGTCCTCAGAAAAGGTGATCACTGCAGATGTAATGCATGCAATCATGTCTTTGTAGATAAAAGCAAGTGACTCTGGTTCATTTCCCTGCCCATGTGTTCAGTGTTCATCCTTCTGTCTGTTTACCCCTGTGGAAAACTCCTCTTTACTAAAAAAAAAAAACAGCACACATCTCCCACCCTGTTGTTTATGTTGTTTGTTGATGTCTTTCGCGAAGGGTTTCTTAAAAAAAATTTGAAGCAGACCCACTTTCATGGTTTAAAAGAGAGATTCTGTACTTATTTTGTACATGTATAATAAATTGAGATGTTTTTAATTATTTTGGGTGCTGAAATAAAGCATGTGAAGTGGTCTACTCAGTGGCGGAGTTTTCACTGTCCTGTTTTGCAACTGTTGTGAAACTGAAATCAGGTGTTAGGATTTGGAGAATAGTCCATTTAATGAAGCTGCATTTCTCATTGTCAGAGACCCCAGGAGATCCTGCATGTTCTGATATTGAAACAGAGTCAAAATAGGTTTGAGAATCAACTGTTCCACAACAGTTGCACTGAGTAAATTTCAATTAAGCAGCAGTGAAAACAAGGCCAATATTAAATTCTTCAATCTGGCTTTTCTTATGCACTTGCCTTGCTACTTTGAATTGCATGCACCTCTAAATACCTTCATAAATAGGAGCTAAAACAGTGTAAAATGCAGCCAACAGCACAAATCAAATGTTAATCAGACATGCAAATATTGGAGTTTTCATGTTACTTTTATCTCTACGGCCACTCAAAAATAGGTACATTTGCATGAAAATAAAATTTGTCCTCAGACTAACCGTTCACAGGGGAGGAGATGTGTGTCTGACCTAAAAACTTCAAATGAAGGTACACTAGCGCCCCCTTCTGGACTTCTAGTGCAACAACAGCTGCTTTAAAGGAAAGCTGAATCAAAAGGATCAGGAAGCTACTACTGAAACGTTCAGGTTTCAGGTTTTCAGGTTTCACATTGTTCTTCTGACCTCAATCCAACAGCAAAAGTCTACTCATGACCCTTTGTCACCAGTCACATGTATGTCTATAAGTTGCAAGCAGCTCAAAACAAGTGATGTTCTCTTTTTACGTTTCATTTTTCATAGTTTTTACAGGTCAGAAGAGGTGAAATTACCCAGTTCCAGCATTTTACAATAAATCAACAAATATTAGGGAAATGTCAGAACATACATAATTTATGTAACTACAAGAGGACTCTGGATTTTACTTACATTGTAAGCACAATAGGAAGCTGATCTTTTCACATCCAGTATGAACAGGAGGAATGATTACAGCAAGCAAAACCTGTTTCTGTTTTCATAACGGCACCTGACAGTCTGAACTGTAAGACAGACTTGAAAAATTGTAAAACTGTCCTTTACACCGAGAGATGGAATAATTTTTTTATTAGTAGTGAAAGATGGTGGAATACACAAAATCATAAACAGCGAATAATAATCGGACAAACTTCACACTATTATTTAATTGTAATGGCACCTAGAAGAAGAAAAACAACAACAACATTTCCCACTGCAAATATAGAACCATAGATTGTGGCAGAAAATGACTGCATGAATGACAGCCAGTGTACTGAAGACACTTTATCCATTGTTCTTCTCACTTCCTGCAAAGACAAACAACATGATGAGTTTGTGATCTTGGAATCATCAATAATAATTCAATAAAAGATGTAGAAGCCTAAATATAAACCAGAATAAAATTAAGAGTTAAGGAAGTCCCATGAGTGAGTTTACCTGGGTAGTGTGTCACTGTAAGGATCACTATGAAGACAGGAGAGTAAAAAAATAACTTGAGTTCTCAGGACTCCCAGGGAAAGAGAGTCATCAATTTAAGATATAACGGTAATGATAAAAGAAGCAGGATGATTAATGCTGGTAGAATAGTAGAAGATCTATGAATAAATGTTAAAAAAAATCAGTGGGTGAAGTTCTTACTGCTGCGCCATTATGAGGGGGATGTTGGGGCTGTCAGACTGCAGCTGTGGAGCCCCCTCCCCGGTTCGGCTGTTGAACATGGGCAGTGTGGACAGGGGCGGAGGGACGCCGCGGGTTCCAGCCATGCTCCTCAGCTCGTCGGCGTTCCCGTGGATGGTGTGGTGGTGGTACAGCTGAATTCTGAACAGAACATCACATACAGCATGTTGGCTCATTCAGTGACTCAAACAGATTCAGATTTCATTATTAATATGCAGAGATGGAAAATACTGAAATATAAAATGAAATACAGTTTTTGAGACATTTCTGCTACTTTATACTTCTAATATGTTACATTTTAGAGGGAAATATTGTTCTTTTAACTTTACTACATTTATTGGACAGCTATAGTTAAGGGAAAAAAAATATGTGATATGATATGCTTATAAAATACAGTGTATTAATACTACACTACTTGAGTGAGTCTGGTAATCGCATCAATCAGTTTACTTACTGGTTTGTTCTTGCATTCCTCTTCTCGCTATAAAAAAAGGAAGAAAATGTGTCACATTTGTGTCACAGTTTATCAGGATCGATCATTTGCTTAAAGTGTAAGTTCACCCCCATAACAGAAATCTGTATATTCCTCCTCACCCACAGTGGAATCCATTGCATTGGCTGCATAAAATCCCACAAGTGTAAGTGGGGGAAAATCTTTTGTAATGTGGTGAACTGACCCTTCATCACAATGACTTTGTAGATCATTTCTTTATTTGCTAGATTCAAAACAGATGCATACACTCCCTCTCGTCTGCCAAACATGATGTAGGCCAGCAGGATACACAGGATGATGGCGAGGATCAGGGGCACGATCACTGTCACAATGTAATCAGGGAAAAAGTCTCTGCTTGGGGGTGACTCGGGAGGGTCGAAGTCCCCTCCGGCCTCCACGATCCCCGAACCCATCGTGGGAGCAGGTGGAGCTGGCTCCTGCTTTGTCAGATCAAACTGCGGGGGAAAAGAAGGGAAAGAGATCCTTGTGTTATTCTTCTGTTTACAGTAACTGTGAGACACAGCAGGTAACAGGATTGCTATTGTGCTTTCAATGGAAATAAAATTTAAAAAAATGTATCCTACTGTACATTGTCATTTATAAAGAATATATATATGACCGTCCGTGTGTGTTTTCAGGCCTCACCAGCTCTGTCTTGCACCAGGTGATGCAGTTGCTGGGAATGCTGCAGAAGTTACAGCCTCCGGGGACCTTAACTCTGGCCCCTGATGAGCACTGCTTTTGATGCTCTGAAGTCAGCACCTTCAGGAGACAATTTGAGAAGTACTTCTCCGACCCCACCTTCACATACACACTGACACAAATCAGATTTTCATAAACATACGGTTATTCCAAAGCTTAAACACTACAGTGGGGTTGCATAAAGCTCTCTGTTTACCCTTCAAAGTGTCCTGCAAGAGGGAGGGGAACTCTGCCGCCACGGTCGAGGGCATTGGATATATTGACAATCTCCAAGGCCTCTGTGTTCCACAGTTTCTGTAAATCCTGCTGTATCTCATCCTGAACAGGAGAGGGCAGCACCTTCTCAATCTCCCTCAGCTTGATGAAGAACTCTGCTTGATAGGGCAGCATCTTCTCTGTGAGTGACAGCAGTGATTTATGACATGTCAGCCATTTCCTCTGTTGTTGTTGTTGTTGCACTTTTAACTATACAATGCATTTGTAATATTTAAATCACTCATACCTGCAATGACTTTGATTACGAGTATTTGTCTGGTTGTGTCATAGCTCCGATTGTTGAAGGCATAGATCTGTCAGAGAACAATTACAGCTTGTCACCATCATAGTTGATCATAGTTATCAGTATTCATATATTTAAACATCCCAAATTATTTCAGTATCGGTTTGTGATGCTTCTGCTGAAGTGTACTTATACTTTCCATCAATCTGCCTTGTCTAGACTTTCAATGGTAAAGGCACATGGTGAGTTGGAAAATAAAAGTTACTTTAAACGTAAATATACTGTATTCTATTTTTTAATTTATTTTTTTTTTACTTTTTTCTTCTGTACTTGTGTGTATAAATATTGAAACAACATTTTGTACAGCCTATAACTTCTACAATAACATGTTAAGTGATTATGACTAAAGATGTGTCTGTCTCATTTTCATGGATTTTTGGTTTGCTTTTACCTGGGTCGAAACCCCAAACTCCCCCGAGTTGAAAATTCTGTCTGATATCAAGGTTTGCTTTATACTTAATTGACAAAATGATAAGTCAGACTTGTAGCTGAGTTTGTGCTGAATAAAAAGATACCATGCATGTGGGTAAGGACAGTGTTTTGAATCCGAGGTACAGCTGTTTTCTGTGGTTACATTTAAAATGTAACATGTTTTCCAGCTAGAATACATTCTGTTTGATTGAGGCTACTGTGACACAAAGACATGTTTCCTCTTGAATTTTTAATGTTGGTTGAGAATAGCAGCTATAGAGAGAAAACCAAAGCTTTTGTCTCTGAGGGTCTGACAACAAAACCTGACATTTACCACCGATGTGTCAGATAGCTCCATATTTTTCAGATTGGTCTCCACTGTAGCTGCACTGGAACCTTATCTACATTTGGCCAAGTTATGTACAGGAACAGAAACATAAAAATATATACAACTAAACAGCAAAATAAGGCCAGAAATGCTTTGAAATGTTTCAGCCTTGTATCAGTGTTGGTGTAAATGATGACATCATACCTCAATCACACTTTTTCCTGGAGATGTTGGCGTTCCATACAGGAAGCCATTATCGAGAGGGTGCCTCTGGGTGAAGCGGAGCCACTCTGGAAGGTCTGGGAAATTCTGCAGGTTGCACTTAAAAATCATGGGGTCATCATACCAGCGTTCAGCTTTACAACACACAAAAAGGAGAGTAGAGAGGTAGACACATACAATAAGAGAATATATTATCTTGTAATTTTGTTGAATAGTGACAAAAGAGTGTGTTAATATGATTCAGGCTCTTACCGTAGAGTTTTGACAAAGGTTCAAAGTCATTCTGGAAAGTCTCTCTCAGCAGCTCATATGTAAATAACTTCCCCACAGGAATGGTAAATTTGATCTCTGCATTGGCTCCAAGCAAACTGACAGCACAAACTGTGTGGAAGTGTAAAAAAAAAACAGCAACAGATTTATCTGATTGGTCACAAAGGGCAAACAACCCCTTAACTTGTCTTTATAATATACACACCACACACTACACACAACCCCAGACGTAATAGTCTAATCACCAATTTACAATCCCTGAAATTAAATGATTACTTCACAGACCTGATACTAAAACAAGCTTTCCAGTTTGTCATAAACCTGAGGTTCAGTCATTTCAGGAATAAACTTGCCTGTTAAAAAGAAGACCCAGCTCCCACAGCCTGCCATCTTGTTTTGGCCTGTGATTGACAGAGCCAAGCGGAGAGGGGCTTGGTCACAGCAAGACATGTCAGAGCTATTTTTACCTCACTCACCTAAAAACATCCGGGAGGCTGTCTGAGAGCATGGAGTAAATCAGGAGCTCTATTATTTCCTTCTGGCAATATAAAATCACATACTTAAGTTAGTTGAAGCATGAATTTTCCATGCTTAAAGCAACTAAGTACATTTAAGTATATTTCTGAGGTACTTTACTTGACTATTTCCCTTTTCTACTACTATACTTCTACAGCACAACTTTTCAGCTGGAAATATTGTACTTTTTGACTAAACTAACTACATTTAAATGAACTAATTAGACTCAAAATTATCAGTAGCATCCAGTTGATAAAATGATAAACCATGGCTGATGGTCTAAAAACCTTTATTTTTCTTCTTGCAGTTCATAGACCAATGTAAGAGCTAAAATAAAATTATACAGACAGTAAACAAAATAATATATTATTACCATTACTGTTAGTATCAGATAGTTAGCACAAACACAAAACATACTCCAAACTTGGCATTGGATATATTGACAATCTCCAAGGCCTCTGTGTTCCAAAGCTTCTGTAAATCCTGCTGTATCTCATCCTGAACAGGAGAGGGCAGCACCTTCTCAATCTCCCTCAGCTTGATGAAGAACTCTGCTTGATAGGGCAGCATCTTCTCTGTGAGTGACAGCAGTGACATGTCAACCATTTCCTCTGTTGTTGTTGCACTTCCTTATTTATCTATACAATGCATGTGTGATATTTGAATCACTCATACCTGCAATGACTTTGATTACCAGTGTTTGTGTGGTTGTTTCATAGCTTGTTGAAGGCATAGATCTGTCAGAAACACTGACAGTTTGTCACCATTATAACTATCAGTGTTCATACATTTAAACATCCCACCCTCAGACATTGTGAGATATTATTTCAATATCCGTTTGTGATGCTTCTGCTGATGTGTCCTTTTACTTTGCATCAATCTGCCTTGTCTACTTCTGCATTCGTTTTCAATTTCCTACATTTCTTGTAATACCTCAACCCTCTGGAGTCTGTCTATTTATCTGCAAATGCACTGAGCATGTTTTATTTACAGTAATGTAACTTTATTTCTATATCATGTTGAGACAAGCTGAGAAAAGCAGTTAAAAGCGCTGATGTGCAGCCTTCACACAATGATTTCTGTCTGCAGACCATAAAACTGATATTTTTAAAACTTATATATATTCTCATTCATTTACAGGCATATGTAGACTTTCAGTGCAAAAAGCACATGGTGAGTTGGAATAAAAGAACTTACATATAAAGTTATTTTATTTCTTAAAGTTTCTGCTGTCATTGTGTGTATAATTATTGAAAACCATATATTTTTTTACAACCTATAACTTTTATAATAACATTCAGAATGATTATGACTGATGATTTGTACATTTTTATAGGTGTTGGTGTCATTAGTTTTTTTTTTGGTTTGCTTTTATCCGAGCCCAGGCCTTCAAATCAGACAAGGCTTGCTAAAAAAATGAAGCCAGGCTTGTAGCTGAGTTTGTGCTGAAAAATTGATACCATGCATGTCGGGTAAGGACAGTTTAAAAGGTGCTAAACAAGGACAGAAATGAGTGCACGGAAAGCAAAATTAAACCAAAAGGAATCTAGACTCCAGGGGGTAAATCACAGAAAATGGCTGCAGTTTGTTACTTAAGTGTTTTGAATCCGAGGTACAGCTATTTTCTGTGGTTACATCCAAAATGTAACATGTTTTCAAGCTAGAACACATTCTGTTTGATTGAGACTGCTGTGCCACTTCAGAAATGTGTATCCCATCTTCTTCAAAGACATGTTTCCTCCTGAATTTTTAATGTTGGTTCAAAATAGCAGCTATAGAAAGAAACCCAAAGCTTTTGTCTCTGAGGGTCTGACAACAAAACCTGACATTTACCACCGATGTGTCAGATAGCTGCATATTTTTCAGATTGGTCTCCACTGTAGCTGCACTGGAACCGTATCTACGTTTGGCCAAGTTATGTACAGGAACAGAAACATAAAAATATATACAACTAAACAGCAAAATAAGGCCAGAAATGCTGTTAAATATTTCAGCCTTGTGTCACTGTTGGTGTAAATGATACATCAAACATACATCATACCTCAATCACACTTTTTCCTGCAGATGTCCATTATCATAAGGGTGGCTTTGGGTGAAGCGCAGCCACTCTGGAAGGTCTGATTCTGCAGGTTGCATTTAAAACTCATGGGGTCATCATACCAGCGTTTAGCTTTAAAAAACAGCAAAGGATTTATCTGAGTGGTCAAACAAAAACTTACACAACAAACATACACACACCACACACTACACACAACCCCAGAATTTACAGTTAGGCCTACAATCTGACTGCTGAATTCAAATATTTACTTTACAGACCTGACACTAAAACAAGCTTTCCAGTTTGTCATAAACATGAAGTTAAATCATTTCAGGAATAAACTTGCCTGTTATAAAGAAGACCCAGCTCCAGCAGCCTGCCATCTAGTTTTGGCCTCTCACTGACAGAGAGGAGACTTCACTGGAAGACATGTCAAACTATTTTTGCGTGGAGTAAATCAGGAGCTCTATTATTTTCTTCTGGCAATATAAAATCACATACTTAAGTTAGTTGAAGCATGAATTGCCCATGCGTCAAGTAACTAAGTACATTTATGTATATTTTTGAGGTACTTTGCTTGACTATTTCCATTTTTTATTTGTACCCCACAGAATGTCATCAGGAAATATTGTACTTTTTGACTAAACTAATTAAATTTAAATGAACTAAATAAACTTAATGTGTCTGTAGCATGAAAACAATAAAACGTTAAACCAGGACTGGGGGTCTAATGTCTTTTATTTTACTTCTCGCAGTTCATAGACCAACGTAGGAGCTAAAATTACAGACAAAAGACAAAATAATATTTTATTTAACATTACTGTTAGTATCAGAAAGTAAGCAAATACACAAAACATATTATTTGACACAAATAAATTAAATTAACATACCTTATTACCACTATAGGTAAACTCCAGTCATAATCTATTACTCTCTCTGTCAGTTTCCGTTCGTTATACGCATACTGTTTCCTTTCAAAATAAAACTTCTGTTTTAACAGGAAACGAAGGTAAGAACAATAAAACAAATTCATTGCAAGCTTAGATTTTTTACATGAACCATACTCTATTGGGGTAATTTGCATTATTTGAAGGCTAGAGTCACTATGCTTTATAGATTAAAGTTTTAAAGCTTTGTTATTGACAGTAGGCTAAGCTACTGACAGTATATAAAGCAAACGAGCTCTGCTGAGATCAGTTACAACATTACACTGCTGTTTGCTGCATCAAAACAATGATAATAAAACACCATAATATACTGTATACTAATAATATCACTGTGTAAGGAGCCATGCATTGTGCCTAATGAGAAACAGGTACATTTCTGATAATACGTCTGTACTAATAATTAAATGTTGTAAGAGTTTCCAAATTTTAAAAGTGGGTAATGAAATTATTAAAGCAAATATTTTTGGTTTTAATTTTTCTTTGTCACCAGATTTTTGCGCCTCCTCTCTCATTCTTACTTACTTTAAATAAAACTGTTATGAAATAAACTAAATTAAATAGCAACATGTATCATGCATCAAGGAAAAAACATTTTTTAATTTTTTTTATAGGATAGGTGCCTTTTTTTTTTGCTCTGTGTTTCTTTTATATCTTGCCTTGACAAAATATAGAAAATGGTAACTACAAAGTCTATTCAGGCACACTATATCACAAATAAATGATAAACTTAGCAAGTTTACACAATTAAACACTTGAAGGAATGGTGGTTAAAGTAAACTTTATATATGGAGGGAATGTTTTCACTCTCCATTTACTAAATAGAAGATCATTTAATATAAAAACAGCTTTTTAATCAATATCATTCAGTCACTGACTCAAGGACAGGGCATTGCCTTCCTATGCTACACACCAATAACACTTTTAAGGGAAAGCTGGCTAGATGGCACTTACTGCCTTACTGAAAGTGATGCACATCCTATTTAACAACACTTCAAGTAATTTCAGGCAGTACTTCTCTAGTTGTATGCTTTACACCAGACCCTCAGGGAGACAAAATAGCTGCCATGGTAAAAGCCAAAAGAGTGTGACAGAAATCTCGTGTTGGGCTTTATCTAACGTGTGAGACAGCTGCAATGATATGTGTTTTGGCCTTGTAGAGAAACCGAGACGGCGTGGGCAGGTTCAAAACCAGCTCTCAACCAAAAAAGGGCAAATGCTTTGTCTAGCTTCACTGATAATATTTAATGTATCTATCAGCTACAGATGCAGAATGCAGGAAGCGACAATGTGGCCTGCAAATAACGGATGTGTTATTATTGGCCAGGAGGGTTTGACGTGACTGATGTTTCACTGGGTCCTAACGCCAGTCGAGTTCTCTGACAGCCAGAGACACCTATTGTCGGACAGGTAAGTGGTTCGTTTTTATTGTGCTGACTGGGAGAATGACTTCTTATTGTTTGTGTTTGACATTAACTGTGTTATTTTGATCAGAATAAAGAATATATATATTTTTTTGGTCAGATAAACTCAAATATTCCTTCATTAAACACCTCCAGTCATTTTTCAGATATGTTAATTTAATTGAATGTTGAAACCAGATATTATTAAGCGCTAATATTAACAATAATAACAATTTAACTGTGATTGTTAAGGTCAGTTTGGTCATGTTTTTGTGTCAGAAGCTGCACATTTGAACCATTTTAGCTAACTATTTTAGATGTTAGCTAGTGATCCATTAACCATTTATTCATTCATTTTTGGCTCAAATATTTCATTCTCAGCCATTATTCCACTGCTTTGACCTTTTTCACCATTTATCCAATACTTTAAAGCTATTTAAACAGTTTATCAATTTTTAAAAGCAGTTTCAACCATTTTTTTTTTTTTTTTTTTTTTTTTTTACAA